GTGCCCGACTCGGGGGACCGCCGGGCCACCAGCCCCTGGCGACGCTGACCAAGAGCGGAACGGCCACCGGCTGAGTAGGTGGTCGGCCAAGACAGGGGATCCAGGCCCACCGGCCAGAACCGCCGGATTGCGGGGGCGACGCCGTCCGCCGGCGGGTGGTGTAGCAGCGGCTTGGCGCAGCGTGGACCGACCCGACAGAGATGCCGGATCACGGAGGCGGCCAACTGGTTTGCAGCGGCCCCTGGTTGACGGCGGCGGCGCTGGGGCAACGCGAGGAAGACGGACGCAGATCGTGGGAGAGAGAGGAAAGAGAAGAAAGGAAAGGAAAAAAGAAAGGAAAGAAAAAAAGAAAGGAAAGAAAAAAGAAAGGAAAGAAAAGAAAAGGAAAGGAAAAAAGAAGGAGAGAAAAGAAAAGGAAAGAAAAGAAAAGGGAGGAAAAATAAAATAAAGTCCAAAAATAATTTATGAAGTAATAAAAATGAATTTCAGGGATTTTCTGAAGCTGACCTGGATCCTGAAGTCTGGGAGAAAGCTTGCTGCTGGAATGCTAGTACGCTAAGGGAATTTATTTGGAGCCTTTTTTGGGAGCCTGATTTAATTTGTGAATTTCCATAAACTCTGGGATTCCCATAATCCACAATTATGGCTCCCTGATATGTGAATATTTTTAAATCGGCAGCTGACTTAAACTACTCCCTCTTAGCTGAGTCTACTACTCGACTAAGGGAGTGGGGGACTCGTGATAGGGTTATGGGACTAGGCCCAGAGCCTAATCGGCCCAGGACCCGAACTTGGACCAGCGGGCCCAAGCCCAGCAACCCAGAGCTCGAGTCAGCCCAACCAACCAGGGCAATCAAGGAGCGGAAGCCCAAGAGAGCCTGTCGACCAGCCCAACGGGGAGCCTGCGGTCCAGCCTACCCGGGAGCCTGCCTTCCAGTCTACCCGGGAGCCTGCGGTCCAGCCAGACTGGGAGCCTGCGGTCCAGCCTACCCGGGAGCCTGCCTTCCAGCCCAGTGGGGAGCCTGCCTTCCAGCCTAGCCAGGAGCCTGCCGACCACCAGCCCAGCTGGGAGCCTGCGGTCCAGCCCAGGTGGGAGCCTGCCTCCAGCCCAACGGGGAGCCTGCCTTCCAGCCTACCCGGGAGCCTGCCTCCAGCCCGGTCAGAAGCCTTCCTCCAGCCTAGCGGGAAGCCCACCGTCCAGTCCAGCAGGAGGGAGCTCAAGCGTCCAGCCTGCCAGCCAGGCTGACCTGCCAGCCAGGAAGAGTAACGACCAACAATCAATGCGCTACTTAATTATGTGTTTAATTCCGTATTAATGTTGTAATTAATTTAGTCATTATTATGTTCGGCAGTTACCATTTGTAATCGCCTATAAAAGGCAATTCGAATTTCAAATACAGATATGCTATTTCTGGCTAACTTTCCATATTCGTACTTTCCTAATTCTTGCTTGAGTGTCGTACGTAGCTTTCCTAAAAGCCTACGAGCGTCCTATTTTGGACCAACAAAGTGTATGACAATTTGCTTTCATTTCACTCAACCAAATAATATTTACAAATAATATCGTATCGCTATTACATTACATTTTAATATCCCGCGCATCGCGCGGGTGAGAATCTAGTTAGTCTAATAGGTCGATCCCTATCAATACTCCCCCCCTAAACATCCACCTTGCCCTCAAGGTGGGTGATAGGGAACAACCAAGATCTTCTGCTTCCTTTTTCATTCTGGCGCTTCTACCTTCCCAATATTTCACTGGTTTCTGAGCAAAGAGCTTCAGTATTAGATCTTTACAACTCACTGATGTTTCTGCAGCATAGAATGTTTTTGGTGAAGTATCTTTTTCTTCCTTAGTCTTCAAGCCCTCGATAGCCACCAATATTTTCATGCTTTCCTGAGGTATATCCCTTATAAACGCGGCAGAATTTATATTCATGTCCTGAACATCAGGATTCTCATCCCTTTTAACCTGGCTCATCAGAAATTTTTGAATTACAAATTTCTTCAACTCCATTTGACTCTTCTCCCTTTGAATTATGCTTTACTATCATGATGCTTTTCAGTAAAACACTCTCATCCACTGCTGCACTTTGAGTACACCCAACATCATTCCACCAATCAACTCCAACAGAAATACTCCACCAAAATGTCTCTGCCACTGCATGTTCCACAAAAGGAGAATCCATTTTTACCTGATTTTTTGAAACAGAGAGTGGAAGAACCCAAGCTATCTTCAAAATGGCCCAATCTTTGCTATTATGAAGCAACATAGAAACCCAGCAACACTTTGTGGACGAGAATACAAATTCAGCTCCTTCATTACCAAGTATATCAGCCATAATTCTGTGGTTCCATCGTTGCCTGTCCAATGAAGGATGTCCGCTTTGTCTAAAAGAAATACAATCCTTGCTGTTGTTATACACGTTGGAGAAATCATGAAGCCTAGAATCCAAATTGAGGTAGCAGCATTCTTTACGAGTTTTCCAAACAAAAACTTCTATAAAGAGAAAAGAATAACCGTTCATTTTCCTTGGTATTCTTCTGACCATAGCTGAAAGGAACAGGACAATACTCTTATACTTTTTGCAAGGCTTTAGCTTCTGCTCCTCTAGCTTATCACAACATCCTTCATCAAGGGAAATCACTTCCTGTAATTTACTGGCTTCTTCATGAAATCTTGGTTGAACCTTCACTGACCACTCAATGGCAGGGTTACAAGTATCAATCCTTCCCAGGTAAATACCTCGAGATATATGGATTGACTTCCCAGTTTGTTTTAACTTGACTTGAAGATATTCATCAATTTGATGGTCACGTTTAATCGACCACATCATCTTGGTTTCCCATTCTGAATTAATTGTTGTTGGTGGAGTCCCTGGGAATCCCTCTTCTAATGTGACTACGTCAAAGTTTCTGGAAGCAGATAAATCTGGCGCAGGTTGATAGACGACAAGCGAGGGTGAGCTGTGAGATCCGGCGGTTGAAGAAACCTGCGAACTAGGGACTTCTGCTCGCGTGTAAGCCAGAAGACCAAAAGACGTTGGTGACTGCAACGAACCTTTGCTTTTCGAATTCCTGCAGCGACGCACAGTCCTCGATCGTCCTCGCCGGTGACTTTGCCGCAGCTTGGTGCGCACTTCGTCCAACCCTATCCTCGTTTCCTTGCTCTTCGCACGCTTCTCCTTCTCCAGGTGTGAGCGCTTTTCCGTTTCTAGGGTTGAGTGCTTCTCTTTCTCCACTTTTCCGCGCTCAACCTTTTCTGCGAGCTTCCCCAATTTTCCGCGCGAATCCTCTCACGAGTGCGAAACAGTTTGCGACTCCTTCTGCGACTTGGTGAGCGACTGCGATGGACTCTGTTTATCAGAAAGACGATGATGCTTGGTGTTGCTCGATCGCTGAAATCTACGATTTAGACGCTCACAGTCGTGCAAGATACTTTTCATCCTAGCGTTCGTCTCCTTCATCTGTTGGTTCGTCTCCTTCATCTGTTCATTCAGATTGTCAAATCTTTCTTCCAATTGCGGTGTCATATAGAATTCCACCATCGTTCTGATGATTCAGATTTTCCGTCTCCAGGAAGTAACGTGCTCTGATACCACTGATAGAACTATCTAGGTATTTGAGAAGATTTACAGAAAATTTATCAAGAAATATCAAGAACAAGAACTGTAAACTTTATTGATGAAGAAAAGCAGTAACAATGGCCGAAGCCCCCAAGAGAGAGATAATTCTCAATCTTCCCAGAAAAGATTAAACAGTCTAAAACAGCCTACTCCTTTCTCTCATCTTTATTCTATTTATAGTATTACAGACTAACGGAAGGTAGTTATTAGCTCAAACAGAAATATAACTACAACTAACTCTTCTATTTATTAGTCTAATAGGTCGATCCCTATCATATCCAGCCGATCGGGTCTTCACCATCGAAGGTGGGCAGCAAGGTTGGAGGGTGCTGCGTGGAAGTTCCTCACTGTTGTGCGCTGTGACGGCGATACTGCCAACCGATGATGCCTCTGTCGTGACAGACGGCATAAAGGCCTTGGATAGCGCCGCTAGGGATGCATCGATTTCAGCCAGCCGCATACCGTGTTCTTCCGGGGTTTGATTCATCCTTGTTTGCTCGGCCGCCATCCTTGTTTGCTCGGCCGCCATCCTTGTTTGCTCGGCCTCCATCTCTGTCAAGCGATTGTTCTGAGATCTCGTCATTCCGGCGGGACGAGATCTGGCAGGTCGGACCAATTGATGAGAATAGAAAAATAAAAATCTACGGGGTAAACCGTTGCCCAAATAATCAACGATAAAAACCGTTGCCCAGAGCCAGAAGGTTGAAATCCAACTTTATTCCAAGATAAGCAAGAATGAACCCGGGTATAAACAGCTTTCTAGTAAGAGACTCAAGAGAAACCCTAATTGAGCCCAAATTAATTAAATCCTAATTAGGCCAATACTAACTCTACTAAATACTCTTCTAATAATAGGCCCAAACTAAAAACATAACATAAACTTTATAATAACAAATAAAACTATAATCCCAGCCCATAACCGGCCCATGCTCTTTCTGCTTTCTATCATCCTCACATGGCTCTGCCCATTCACAAGTACCCGATTCTAGCGGTGAGACCCTTCATCAGGCCCTTGCCCCTTGCGGGGACACCAAGGTGCACCGAGCTGTATTAATTCTATAGTACTTTAAAAACTTCTAATTTAATTATATGTGAGTATAAAATAAATATAAATAAATGCACAAAAATTTCAGTAGTTAAATAAATAACTGAATTGTGTGTGTCTGTATCTGTGTTGTATATTCTTAATATTCTTAATAGTATATAATTAAAATTTAACTAACACACTCGAAGGCATAACCTTCAACATAAACCATTGGGCAATCTTACATTCACATTCTTTTATTTTTAAATTAAATTACCTTCCAAGATGTTAAGGTTATCTCGAAAACCTGACCAAACACCTCCTAAGGAGTAGTAGCTAAAATGATACCATACCTGCGTGTGATCTGTCACACAATGCTTCATTTTATGTGTTTTCTCCAAGTCAAATTCGCCATCAGTAGCAGTTACAACTAACATGTCTTTCTCAATGCCACCCAATTTTGCCCATTTCTTGAATTCATCACTCGTGGTAAGGATTGCTAAAAAATACTGAGCAAGCTCTACTTCACCATCTAAACATTCTTGGATTGCACCTGAAAGAGAACCCCCAATCTGAGAAATTGATTGAGAACGGGTCACTACCATGGAGAGACTAGTTACTGCAATGGAAAGAATAGTCACTGCCTTCATCAATTTCACTAGGATGCCCCCTGCTAACTGCTAAGTACACACATATTTTGTAACTTATGTTTTTCCCTTCTCTTTCACGTTAATGGAAACAGCACAATATTTATGCTATCATAGTAGTTGAAGTAAAAAAAACATTTTCAAAAAATAAAAAAATGGGCACCTGTAAGAGCTAGTTTGCAGCATAGCTCAGCATCCAGGATATGAGGTGGCAAAATACCCGGCGTGTCCAGCACATAAATATTAGGATGGCTAGCAATCTCATTTAACACATCAACATGAACTTGTTTGTCAAGGAGTGATCAAAGAAAGAAATGACTAGTTAAAATTAAGTACGTAACTAATTAAAAGAAGTTGGGACCCAAGGTTGTTTTAGCAACTTCACAATTCACATAATTGGAAGCTAAATGAGTAGAAACTATGAAACTCCATCCACTTCCAATTGGTTCAATAGATATCTAGGAATATGAAATTGATGAATGAATCTTATAAATAATTAAATAAATAAATAAATAAATCATTCATTTAGACAAAAGAATGGTAAAATTCAAGCACCTTAAAACTGCTAATGTTTTTAGTCTCCCCAGGCTGAGGAGTTACCACAGCATGTTTTAGTCTTCCCTTCTCTTCCAATCGACGTAATATATGTGTTAGAAAGTCAGAAGGGGTTATTTTTTAGCAAGATATCTCAAAAAAGAGGTGTACCTGCGGCACTAATTCGCCCAATCAGATGCAATGAGTTTGCAAGTGCAGATTTCCCAACATTAGGAATACCAACAAGCATTAGTGTTATAGTATGTCGAGAATAACCGGTATTTATTAGTTCTCTTACTCTAGCTTGCAGAAAAGTCAAGAACTGTCATAATGTAGGCAATACAATAATATTAGTGTCCATTAGTTTATAGTGTGTCAGGAAATGGCTTCTCTGGTCAGTGGTAACTTATCACTATGCACCTCCTTTATACTATCTCTATTATGAGAATTGACTCGAAATGCTATATCATCCTGTCCTTCAAAATAATCCATCCATTGCTGCATATAAGCGATGAGAGAAGTCAGCAGAAAACTGTACATCAGCTCAAAATGAAAAGAAATGAAATGTCTGAAACAGAAAATAAATAAATAAATAAATAAATAATAATAAACAGTTTGATGCAAAAGATCCTTTAGGATACAATTAAAATATGCCTGCCTGGTTTAAACAAACAATATATTCTGAAACTATATTTGTAGCACAAAATCATTAAGAGCCTGTTTGGTAACAATGAAATTGATTGAATCGGCTGAATCTGCTGAAATTGATACAATTCTAGCTGAAACAGCTTAGTTGATGGGCAATCTACTGAATTACGGAAATATTATATTTAAAATATATTTTATAAATAAAATGAAGGAAAAGATTATATGAAAAATGGCTAAAATGGTCATCACAATAACTTCAGTCAATTCAGTCAAAAAACTTATTTAAATTTTTCCACAATTCACCTTGTAAAATCAAAAGTCAAAATGTTGAGCAATGAAGCTGATAAAATGAGAATATGGGTTACCGAACTGGCTCTAGAACACCTGTGTAATATATAATTATTAAGATTACCTTCACCTGTGAGCGACTTGCAAGATCTGTTTTGTTCAAAACTATAATTCGCCTGGTGGAAGTTGCATGCTTTTTCAGCAGTTTGAATTTTGATGACAAAGGGATCTGAGCAGTAGGAGAAAATGCACTAAAATATCAGAATTGTAAAAAACTTGTCCTTATATAACCTGAATTCAATGCATGAATTAGTTGATATAAATGAACTTTATAACTGGAACTGTCAGCATCTAACCATGTCAGTTCATACAAACATTTCATCGAACACTTGACAGTAACCCTGAAAAACAAACGGAAGCTCGAAGCTTACAATACATACCCTAGCATCCCGGACTTCAAGAATGAAATCGACTAGCGGTATCCTCTCTGAAATGGCATGGGCGGCGGCGGCGGCGTGAGGGGTGTACCACCAGCTCGAGCTTTTGTTCTCTGCTATATTCTTGATTGCAGTCCCTATCTTGTGAGCTACACTTGGCAGTAGGGACTTCATGACTCCTACTAAACAATGCAACGCGTGTTCACTTGTATCTATAGATATCCATCCATGCGATTCGATCCAAATATATGAACGCAATCTCGAAAAAATCTTTATATATATATATATAGGAAAATTCTCAGGTCCAGCGCCTTCCGGTCCGAACGCCTTCCGAACACCGTCGTTTGGAGCGGTTCCCGGTGGAATTTTTTGTTGAAATTTTTTGAGCATGTTCCTCATCAAGTCTAGTTTATCCATACCAAATTTCAGCTTAAAAATCGATCGGGAAGGCAGTCAAATAATTTGTTGAAGTTAACTGCGCAAAATTGTACATAGAAAAACGCAGTCAACTTCAAAAAATGATTTGAATGCCTTTCCGAAAGAATTTTGAGCTGAAATTTTTTGTGGATAAACTAGACTTGATGAACAACATACCATAAAAATTTCATCAAAAAATTCAACCGGGAACTGCCCCAAACGGTGGTGTTCGGACGGCTTTCGGACCGGGGGCTGCTGGACCTGAGAATCTATATATATATATATATATATATATATATATATATATATATATATATATATATATATATATATATATATATATATATATATATATATATATATACTAGTAAAGTAAGCACTACGTGTGATTGTTGCCCAATGTAGTAGTATTGAACCATTCTAGATTAAGTAATTACAGTTAAATAATTTGAGTAAAAGATTGTAATGAATTACCATGTAAGAAGGTTAAATAGAACTCTCACTTTTACGGGAATATTAGATTGATTATAAAATGTATAATTGAACATTAGATGTTGTGTGTGCATTTTCAGATATGTATTAAAAGTAAATATAATGAAACATCCAATTATGTACTTAAAAACATTGTATACTTAAAAAAACACAAGACATGATTGAGTAGTTCATTTACTCCAAAAAAGGAAAAAAAAATTAATAGTTTTAAATATGAAAGAAGAAAATTTAAGCGAAACTCTAAATTTGATGATGAAAAAAAGGGTAGTTTGGTGATCACGGCTTGCATATAACAGCTGTTTGAAGTTGACTTTTGAAATAACTTTTTTGTGAAAATAAAAATGATGCAAAATTTTCCTTCTTTAAGGTACACAAAGCATTGAGATATAAATCATTAATATTAAATAAAAATCAATATTAGTTGTTTCTTGTCATTCAAACAATATATTTTCTTTTATATGCTGGTCGAATATTTTTAGGCCACAAAAGTCAAATTACTTTTGAAAAACCCAAGATCTTATCGTTTTTGTCCGTCTTATAAGCTAAACCCAATACGTTAGAAGCTAAACCAAAGACCATATTGTTCTTGTAGTCTTATACATTACATTGATAGAAAACTACATTGAAATAATCTTAGGAAGAAAGAATTTATTTATAAGGTATCTATAAATATGTTAATTTGAAATAGTCTTACCGTCAAGGCTATCAAGGTAAGCCTTTCTTTTTTATTAGTATGAAATATCATAAAGTAGAAAAATAGTTTTGTACTTAAACAACACAACCTCTTTACTAAGAATTTTAGATAAGCTCATACTTGTGCTGTTGTCACACAATTATCTTTAAGATCCTGAATTGAGTTAACCTCGTGGTGTTTCTTTCCTTTTTTTGCTAGATGTTGACGACACTTCTTGGAACTTTCCTTTGTTTTTGCTCGATGTTGCCGACACTTCTTGGAAGGTGTCTATTTGGCTGTTGTATCATCTATTACCAAGCTTTCATCTACTACAAGCTTCCTCTTTCCCTTTATGGCAGCTTTTTGGTTTGGGACAACCTGTAAAATACAAATTAGACATGCTGTTGAGTACAATGAGTTAAGATTTTATTGAATTGCAGTAGCCAAATATTTCAAAGAAATTTTTAAATCATCAGATGTCATAGATAACAATCATAAGCAAGTAAGTTGACTTTCAAAAACTTAAATGAAAGTGGGTAAAGAATATTGTTCTATGGTAAATTTAAGTTTCAGATTAATGAACAATATTTTTTATTTGTGGTTATAACTTTTTATAGAATGATCTCTCTTGAGCTTTAGAAAATGTAAAGTTGTATTGTGATGTACAAAATGTAAGCTCAGTTAGAGGGGCATTAAGAATGTAAGGTTGATTAAAAAGATGTTGCTTGTCTTATTGCTATGCAAAGGTAAAAATTCATTCGACGTTTTTCACCCTACAGTCATTGAAATGGTAACAAAACATAAGTTTAATGTTATTTAGATAATAATAATTAAAAAGGAAGCATTCAAAGCATAAATCAAATGTATTGTCTGCTTTAGTAAAGAATGGAACTTAAAAGTAGTGGTGGAAGAAGTTTGAAAGAACTTCAAACTCACAATTGAGATCACCTGAAATTCTGATCTGTTAAATCTTATTTTTAAAGTAGTAGTGAATTTATTGAGGTTTAACCAGTTTCTCATTGAAACCAAATGCACAATTCTACGCCTTATTGTTACCTACGGTTTTGATGAAGAGAGGATTACTTCCAATGCTTACCTTTAATCAGAGCAAACTTATATAAATCTATTTACATTTGCTGCAGTCCTCCTAGTGAAAATGAAAAGAATACAAAACCAACAAAGGTTTACAATCAGCCTTTCTGAATTTTGATGGCAGAATTTAATCCCCCAAAGTTGAAATATGAGGTTCACATGAGATTTGATATTATCATCCCCATGGATTGCATAACAGATTCAGCAAGTAAACTTAAGTTTTAAACTCCAAACTTAGTACAACACATATTATCTCTAATTTGAAAGAACACCAAAGTAGGTTTACAAGTTTCAAACGAGCTACATTTTATTTATTACTACAATTTAACTACAAATCAGGTCTTGAAAATAAAGATGTGAATTACAAAAACTAAAAGTGTTGGAACTGATACCAAAAGATAGCTAGAATGCCTTACGTCATACATTACTCAGTGGAAGAATAGGTTGTTGTTTAGTACTCTCATGTGTAATGTTGACTTTCTAAATAAATTGTGGTGTTTAAGAATAGCAATGTTTAGTGACTCAAATTCAAAAGTACAAATAACAATCTGTCAGTGACTAAGCTTGACTGTACTTTTGAAGAATTAATTGTCTAGTGGGTATACTAAAATCTTAGGACTAAGATTTCCTTTGTGCTTTGTTTAACAAAAAAAATCCAAAACTGGATTTGCTCAATCTAACTAAATTGTAACGTTTTGTCTATGATAATTAAAATAGTTCGTACTGATTAACATAAGTGAAAACTTTCTTTGTTAACTCTTGCCAGACGGACCGAATGAGAAAATTTGAATCACAAAGCTTATGAAAATCTATTACGGAGTATTTTATAGGGGGCCTGCTGCAGGGTCACAAATTGTGCAGAATTACAAAAACTAAAGGTGTTGGAGCTGATTTCAAAAGAAAGCTAGAATCCCTTAAGTGTAGTTGTTTGGTAGCTGTTTGGCAAAAAGCTGACTATTTGATTTAGTAACATCACGTTGTGGAAGAATAGGTTGTTGTTTAAAAAAATTAATAAACTAATGATTAAGGTTGCACAAATCTTATAAAAATGTTTATTTTCAAAAATAATTAATCATTTTTTTTGTATTTATAAGTGTATAGAAAAAATTATAAACTTATAGAGTAGTAAAAGTACCAGAACAGATAAAATTCAAAAGTATCTCCCTGTAGGAGTTGAATAAAAAACTAATCAAAATGTTGAATATAATTTTAAAAAAAAAAATTACAAGAAGTATAATCCTGCCAGCTTAATTATTAGGAGTATGGTATGTCAGGCTTTTGGTTGATCACATGTCCTCAGATAATGATTGCTTGTGTCAGTGCCACTCCAAACCTTTCTTGTGATAAAAGAAAAGAGGAAAAAGTATTCTTTCTAAGAGTAGGTGTGGAGTGCTTTTTGCGGGGAAAGTTGCAAGTACAGTTTGGGGTACCCGAATCTAGTCAAGGCGATGCAGCAGGCTCAAGGCACATGTTCTTAGCTTAGTTCTATCATTTCTAGTGAAGAATGTACCAACTTAACGAATCATTGAAAAAGGCATAAACCCAATACCATCACACATTAGCACCGTCTATATTTGGAAGTACAGATTGTAAAACAACCAACCTCTTTGCATCATTGCAGATATTCTCTAAAACTACATTACAAATTTAATAAAAAACCAGCCTTAGGAAGTGCTTGGCAATTTTAAGTGAATGAAACAATTTAAAACCATTACACACAGTAGGAGAATTTAATAGTTAAAAAATATTATCTCATAAACCCTTTTTATTACGGGTAAAAAAAAAAGCAGACGGTATAAACTACAGTTCTTAGTATTCCTTATTGTAGTGTTTTTAATTCTATACTCCTTTTTTACTAATGTGTGGATAGTATATACGTGAAGAAAGATAGACGCACTGAAACTAATGAAAAAAAGATTTTTATCACTAAAATTTTTCAAACTTTTATAATGATTTCATTCATGCAATCTGCGGATATGCCTATCTGCTCAAGTTGAATCGCTCTTTGTCAAGAAGTATGTTCTTTCATTAAAACTAAGCAATACCAAATACAAAGTGCTTCGTGATTTAATTAATAGGTGGACTTTATAAATAGTCATATAGCCCATGAAGTGAATTTACCGTATTGCAGACCTGCAGTCTAATATCCCGGATCATTTCGATCAGCAGGACCAATCCTTTATAGCAATGTAAAGGGTATCGAAACAAAAGAAAATAATTACATACCCTTTATATTTGTGCATGACTTCATGACCTGATAGCAATTTTTATTGAATTCTACCCGAAACCAAGGCTACGTGTCATGTATAGTTTAAACCTGGAAGCATTCTTCCTGGTATTCATTTAGGGAATGATCTAAACAAACTGCAGGCTTGTGAAAACTCCATTGTTGCTTACCCGAGCATGCCCGGTTTACGATTAATTCAACTTTTTGTATTTTTAACTATTTATAAATATTTATAAACTTTTTAGAGTAGTAAAAGTAATCAGAACAAATAAATATCATATCAAAAAGTTTTTCCCCTAAAAGTGGAATAAAAAACTATTTCAAGTAATCACAACAAAAAAGAT